CGCTGTTCGTCCCGCGGGCCGCACGCACGCACGCACCGTACGCACGCACGCACGCACCGTATGCACGCACGCACCGTATGCACGCACGCACCGTACGATGAACTTCTTTCGCACCGCACGTGGCCAACCGTGCTACTTAGAGGTGCCGTGCGGTCGCGCTCGCCTCTTTCTTGAAGGTGACGCCGCCCCCAACGTCCGTAAATAATAACGAGAGCTAAAAAAAGACAAAGACGGCGCGAAAAATCCAGCGGCAGAATTGCGCTCACTTCGGCGGGCGGTCGACGTTCAAAACGAGAACCGGCAACCGCTCAAAGGGATGGCGGCGCTCCCCCGGTCAACCCCCCCCCCCCCCATCTCCCCCCCCACCGGTGATCCGCGGATCGAACAATTCAACCAGGGGTCAAGCGCTTGGCGCAACGGTCCTCCGCTGGCCTGAGCGTGATGAATGATTGAAGGAAGCCGGGGAGGGCCACGCCGAGACAGAGGGCCACGCCAAGAAGGAGGGAGTCCCGCCCACTGCACCGGGGCTCTGACCCCCGGAGCACCCGCATTGGGTTGCCAGGGCGGCACAGCGGGGTACAACACTTGTCGCGAGGCGAGGGGGAAATGCTATATCCCCCCCCAGCCCCCGTACGGATGGAAACGGACGGCGATTAGTCCACACTTGGCTGTACGGCTCGTCCTGGGCGGCTACGGGAAGATCTGTGCAGTGATCCACCAACTGTCGCTGCTGCCTCGACGGTGCCGGGTTACGGTCAGCCGCAGCGTAGCCACCACAGACGTCGCCTGGCGAATTTCAACAAACTTTCTTCTTTTACTTTGCTCGGTAAGACCCCCTTGAGCTACGTAGCTCAGTGTGGCTTACCGAGCGATAGCTAAACAAAGTGGGCTCATCGTCACGTGGGAATTTATGGCAGTCGAATGCTCCAAGCGCGTGATGTCACTTCTAAATGGGGAGAGAAAAAGCGGAGGACCCGGAGATAAATCCACGCAACCACGGGGAGAGAGAAAGACACGCAAACTACAAATATACAGCAGCAGGCGTCAGGGTTTGGGATCGAACCCACGTCTCCTATGTACCAGGCGAGGTAGTTGACATCTCCTAGCCACCGTAATGATGATGATGAGAGAGAGACACGCAAACTCCAAATATACAGCAGGCATGGTCAGGGTTTAGGATCGAACCCACGACCTCCTATGTACCAGGCGAGGTAGTTAACATCTCCTAGCCACTGTAATGATGATGATGAGAGAGAGAAAGAGACACGCAAACTCCAAATATACATCAGGCATGGTCAGGGTTTGGGATCGAACCCACGACCTCCTATGTACCAGGCGAGGTAGTTAACATCTCCTCGCTACCGTGATGATGATGATGAGAGAGAGACACGCAAACTCCAAATATACAGCAGGCATGGTCAGGGTTTAGGATCGAACCCACGACCTCCTATGTACCAGGCGAGGTAGTTAACATCTCCTAGCCACCTTAATGATGATGATGAGAGAGAGACACGCAAACTCCAAATATACAGCAGGCATCAGGGTTTGGGATCGAACCCACGACCTCCTGTATACCAGCCGAGGTAGTTGACATTTCCTAGCCACCGTGATGATGATGATGAGAGAGAGAGAGAGACACGCAAACTCCAAATATACAGCAGGCATGGTCAGGGTTTGGGTTTGAACCCACGACCTCCTGTATACCAGGCGAGGTAGTTAACATCTCCCCAGGCCGTCTCTCCCTCTGCTCCACCGCCGCTCTGAACGCGTTGCTTGCAAGCGCCCAAGTTAGCCAAGGACACGCACGCTCGCTAATCAAATAGGCTGTATAGAGGAATCGCAGTGGGATGATTGCGAGTTCAATACCTGCTTTGGGTGGTGGTGCGGAGTTTGACGAATCTCATTGAACCTCCGCTGATCGATAAAATCGAGAGTGGTTATACTGTAGATAGGCCCAGCCCCGCCATAAGAACGTGGAATGTCCACCACTGTCTCGGACCGTCAAGAGGGGATGAGCAACTGCGCTAGATGCACGTTTCAGCATAAAATCACTTTGATATATTTTTTTTAAATCCACCCACCGTGGCAACCAAATCCTTCACCCACGCAGACGCCCCGCTTATTCGGGGCTCCGCGGACGACAGATTTCAAGCGCGGAAATAAAAATATCGACGCCAAGCGGCAACGCAAACACGGGAGCTTGGCGCACAAACAACACGTACGGATTTAGTTTGGCTATGTCAGGCACCCCCAAGTCTCAGCAGTGGCAAACATGCCATCCCATGCCAGTTGTGCTGGAAACATGCCCAATCAAGGGTAGTTGCGCCCAGTTCGCTTGGTGTGGAGCCTCAGATGGCAGCAGTTACACGCGCACGGGCACATATGCACGCAAAGATAAAGATCCCCCCCCGATAGCCTTAGCAGGCTGCTGGGACAAGTGCTGTTACCGAGTAGCACCTATGAAGGCCGGCACGGCACAAGAAGGGGGTGGGTTGGCCAACGTCACGCCCGGCCGCCTTTGTCTCTCCAGTGCTGCTCATTGAATGGCTGAGTCGAGCTAGGGGAGGCCCACAGTTCAGGTAATCGTCACTGGTGTTGTCCGTGACCAGGAATCGAACCCGGGTTGCCGGGTTCATACCGCCATTCGCTACTAAGTGGCGGTGACGTCACCACGACGCTTGTGCCAGGCCATGTGCACCTTGAGGCCACACACACACACACACGCGTGCATAGCAAAGCACGTGCCGACACGTGGAAACAACGAATATGAAATCGACGCGAACTTGCATGCAGCGCGTGACGTACGAATGCATCCGCACGTTCGTACGCGTGACGGTGGGGACGGTGGGGACGATGGTGACGTTGGTGACGGTGGGGACGGTGGTTCGGTTCATGGGTCACGAGCGAACGGGATGTAACTTTCACCTGAAAGCTCTCAGACACCTACGTACTCTCATCTCCACTGAAATTGCCAACACATCGGCATGTTGCATAGTTGGGTCTCGCCTCGACTATTGCATCTCCATCCTAGTCCGGACCTCCACTACAAAACATCCTCGCATGCGTCGTCATTGCCCAGGGTTCTGCTGAAAACGGGCTTCACAACGACCCTCCATTAATCAGTGAGGCAATCATCAACATCGTCATCAGGAGGAGCATTCTCACATCGCCTTCTTGGTTGGCGTGAGTTGAGCGCCTAACGGCAACCACTTCTAGTCAACGTTTTTATCGGCATCATCCATGATCAATGCACTTCTGTATGCACGTACGTTGAACCTCTTCCGCACCGTACGTAGCGAATCGTGCGAATCGGAGGGGGTGGAAGGACAACAAACTAAACACAAAAAGCAGTTTTAAAGAAACGAGTTTTCAATCTCGATGTAAAAGTGCATCACAGCTCCCAGCGGCTTCCGAATATCGGTAGGAAGAGCGTTCCAGACGGCCGCAGAAGCGCGTCTGAAAGCGCCGCGCCAGAAACGCGGCGGTGACCGCCTCTTTGTTCGACGGTTAGTCCCAAGCGGCGGCTTGCTGGATGAAGGCCTCCTGTAGCTATCAGCCATTTCATTGATGTGCCATGGCAAGAATCTACCCAGCAACCAACCCGGCCAACTCATCGATGTGCCATGGCAAGAATCTACCCAGCAACCAACCCGGCCATCTCAATGATGTGGCATGGCAAGAATCTACCCAGCAACCAACCCGGCCATCTCATCGTTGTGCCATGGCAAGAATCTACCCAGCAACCAACCCGGCCATCTCATCGATGTGCCATGGCAAGAATCTACCCAGCAACCAACCTGGCCATCTCATTGATGTGCCATGGCAAGAATCTACCCAGCAACCAACCCGGCCATCTCATCGTTGTGCCATGGCAAGAATCTACCCAGCAACCAACCCGGCCATCTCATCGATGTGCCATGGCAAGAATCTACCCAGCAACCAACCCGGCCATCTCATCGATGTGCCATGGCAAGAATCTACCCAGCAACCAACCCGGCCATCTCATCGTTGTGCCATGGCAAGAATCTACCCAGCAACCAACCCGGCCATCTCATCATTGTGCCATGGCAAGAATCTACCCAGCAACCAACCCGCCATCTCGCCTCTCCGGCCATCCCCGGTGTTCATAAGTGCGGGTGTTCGTAAGCTGGGTGTTCGTAAGTGCGGGTGTTCGTAAGCTGGGTGTTCATAAGTGCGGGTGTTCGTAAGCTGGGTGTTCATAAGTGCGGGTGTTCGTAAGCTGGGTGTTCATAAGTGCGGGTGTTCGTAAGTGCGGGTGTTCGTAAGTTGGATGTTGGCTGGAATCCTCAGGATCCATCCGGAGGATTCTCTACCCAGGACGACGGCCGCCGGTGAACTCATCACCCCTCGCCCATCCCCTCGTCGCCCCTCCCCCCTCCACACCCCTCTCCTCCCCCATCTCCCACCACCTCGCCCCCCAACCCCTCTCCTCCCATCTCTCCTCCCCCCTATCTCGAACCCATGCCTTCCTGAACACCAGGCGAGGGAGTTAACATCTCATAGCCACCGTGATAATGATGATAAGAGAGAGACACCGTAAACTCCAAATATACAGCAGCAGGCATCGTCAGGGTCGGGATCGAGCCCACGACCTCCTGTACACCAGACGAGGTAGTTAACATCTCATAGCCACCGTGATGATGATGAGAGAGAGAGACACGCCAACTCCAAATATACAGCAGCAGGCGTCAGGTTCGGGATTGAACCCACGACCTCCTGTACACCAGGCGAGGTAGTTAACATATCCTAGCCACCGTGATGATGATGAGAGAGAGACACCGCAAACTCCAACTACACATCAGGCATCGTCAGGTTCGGGATTGAACTCACGACCTCCTGTACACCAGGCGAGGTAGTTAACATCTCATAGCCACCGCGGCGTACCCATCGCACAGCCATCCCGGTACCGTTCCTCCACAGGGGTAGCCCCCCCCCCCTTCCTGTCTCCACCCCCCCGCCTCTCCCCAGGAGGTACTCACTGCGCTGCATGGCCCTGCCGAACACGGAGTGATCTCGCTCCAGCGTGCTGCAGTTCCAGCGGTGGTGCCGGAACTGGTGCTGGCACTCGCGGATCCAGTCGAGGGCCCCCTCGGCCAGGCTACGCATCACGTCGGGCTGCTTCTGGCAGATCTGCCGCTGCTTGCCCACGAGGCCCGGGATGTTGTCGCAGATGACGCGGGCGCCCAGGGCACCGATGAACCTGCGACGCGGGAGGGGGAAGTGGGGGGTGGGAGAGGGTGAGAGTGGGACAATGTGAGAGAGAGAGTGTGAGAGTGTGTGAGTGAGAGAGTGGGAGAGAGTGGGAGTGCGACAATGTGTGTGAGTGAGAGAGTGTGAGAGAGAGTGGGAGAGAGTGGGAGTGGGACAATGAGAGAGTGAGAGAGTGTGAGAGAGTGAGTGAGTAAGAGAGTGTGAGTGAGTGAGAGAGTGAGGATGTGAGTGAGTGTGGGAGTGAGTGTGAGTGAGAGAGTGTGAGTGAGTGAGAGTGTGAGAGTGTTAATGAGAGTGTGAGTGAGTGTTAGTGAGTGCGAGTGTGAGTGAGAGAGTGTGAATGAGAGAGTGAGAGAGTGTGCGTGAGAGAGTGTGAGTGAGTGTTAGTGAGTGGGAGAGTGTGAGTGAGAGAGTGAGAGTGGGAGTGAGTGTGGGAGTGAGTGTTAGTGAGTGAGTAAGAGAGTGGGAGAGGGTGAGAGTGGGACAATGTGAGAGAGAGTGTGCGAGAGAGAGCTTTATAAAATCTTTCATTTCAAAAGGGAGGGGGGCACATAAAGCAAAGCATTGCAAAAAAAACCGAAATGATGAAAGAAGCAAAGTGCCGACTACACCGAGCATCTTCTTGTTTCCTCTGATCGTAAGTGAGAGAGTGAGAGAGTGTGAGTGAGAGCGTGTGAGTGAGAGAGTGTGAGTGAGTGAGAGAGTGTGAGTGAGAGCGTGTGAGTGAGAGAGTGTGAGTGAGTGTGAGAGTGTGAGTGAGAGAGTGTGAGTGAGAGTGTGAGTGTGTGAGTGAGTGAGAGAGTGTGAGAGAGAGTGAGAGTGTGAATAAGAGTGTGTGCGTGAGTGAGAGAGTGTGAGAGAGTGTGTGGATATGTGTGTGTGGATGTGTGTGTGTGGATGTGTGTGTGTGGATGTGTGTGTGTGGATGTGTGTACACTCGCTCCCACAACACTCGCTCCTTCAGAGAGAGAGAGAGAGCAACACGTGACAGTGATTCTCCGTCAGGATCTAGTGGAGGAGTCGCACGTGGAGTCGGGGGACGTCTTTGTCAGCGCGGTCGCGTGCCGTGTTGAGAACCACGTCACCTCAAACACGTGCCCAGTGTCACCCCCCCACCACCACCATCTCCACACAAACAAAGATACAAAGATCCCCGGTGTAGCCTTAACAGACTGTTGGGGCAAGTGCTGTTTGCGAGTAGCAGCTATGAAGGCCGGAGCGGCACACGAGGGGGTGGGTGGCCAGCACCACGCCCGGCCGCCTTTGTCTCCCCAGTGACGATGTTTACACACCGCGCCAGGTACTCATTTGAGGCTGAGTCGACCTAGCGGAGGCCCAGGACCGGTTCAGATAATCGTCACTGGTTTTGTCCGTGAGCGGAAAAAGAACTCAGGTCGCCGGGTTCGTAGCGCAGCGCGATAACCACTACACCACCGCTACCCACTACCACTCCCCAAAGACAAACACACACACACCCACAGACACACCCACAGACACACACACACCCACAGACACACACACAGACACACACACAGACACACACACAGACACAGACACACACACAGACACACACACAGACACACACACACAGACACACACCCACCCACAGACACACACACACCCACACACACACCCACAGACACACCCACAGACACACACACACCCACAGACACACACCCACAGACACACACCCACAGACACACACCCACAGACACACACCCACACACACAGACACACACACCCACAGACACACCCACAGACACACACACACCCACAAATCAAACGCACCCACAGACACACACACACAGACACACACACACCCACACACCCACAGACACACACACACCCACATACACAGAGCACACACACAGCACATACACAGCACACACACAGCACATACACAGCACACACACAGCACACACACACCCACAGACACACATACACAGACACACAGACACACACCCACACACACAGACACACACCCACACACACCCACGCACACAGCACACACACATCACACACACAGCACACAACACAGCACACACACATCACACACAGCACAGCACACACACAGCACGCACACATCACACACACATCACGCACACATCACACACACATCACACACACAGACACACACACAGCACACACACAGCACACACACACAGACACACACACAGCACACACACATCAGCCGCCGTTGCGCGATCGAGCGTGGGCACGGGGGGGGGTTCGCGGGAGGAACGCTCCCCGCTCCGTCTCTACGGGAGGAGCTCTCAGGTTGGGAGCGCGCGCGCGTTTGGAGATGAAAACAAAATCGTCAGAGGCTCCGGCGAGCTCTCGTCGGAGAAAATCGTCGCGAAACTCGTCACGTGGTCACCGGGAGACGCACACACCGCCGATACTGCTGCTGTCGATACTGCTGCTGCTGATGCCGATACTGCTGCTGCTACTGCTGATGCCGATACTGCTGCTGATACTGCTGCTGCTACTGCAGATACTGCTGCTGCTACTGCTGCCGATACTGCTGCCGATACTGCTGCTGATGCCGATACTGCTGCTGATACTGCTGTTGCTACTGCTGCTGCCGATACTGCTGCTGCTGCCACTGCTGCTGATACTACTGCTGCTGATACTGCTGCTGATACTACTGCTGCTGATACTGCTGCTGATACTGCTGCTGATACTACTATTGCTAAGACTGCTGCTGATACTACTGCTGCTGATACTGCTGCTGATACTACTGCTGCTGATACTGCTGCTGCTACTGCTGCTGATGCCAATACTGCTGTCACTGCTGCTGCTGCTGCCGATACTGCTGCCGATACTGCTGCCACAGCTGCTGCTGATACTTCTGCTGATACTGCTGCTGCTGATACTGCTACTGCTGATACTGCTGCTGATACTGCTGCTGATGCCGATACTGCTGCTGATTCTGCTGCCGCTGCTACTGCATATACTGTTGCCGCTGCTACTGCTGCTGATACTGCTGCCACTGCTGTTGGTGATACTGCTGCAACTGCTAACTTTGTGAATTTTGACGAAAAGCCTTCGAGTGATGATCTGGTGGATCTCTGTGCCGCCTGTAAAATCCGCTGCTGTTCGAGCCCCAGATCGTCCCCACGCCTCTGGCAACGCCGGCCAGAAAATACCGCGGCTAACGCGCCCTGCGTTGTTGTTGTTGTTGGTTGTTGTTGGTTGTTGTTGTTGTTGGCTGTTGTTGGTTGTTGGTTGTTGTTGTTGTTGGTTGTTGTTGGTTGTTGTTGTTGGTTGTTGTTGTTGGTTGTTGTTGTTGGATTTTCTGTTTGCACATATTCACTTTAAGATGTTTTCTTGTTCATGTTTTTTGTTTGTTGCGGTTGCACCCGATTCAAGAGCCGAATGGCTCACAGGGCTATACCTAATAAATGAACTTGAACTTTGTTTGTTGTTGTTGGTTGTTGTTGGTGGTTGTTGTTGTTGTTGGTTGTTGTTGTTGGTTGTTGTTGTTGCGCATCCAACTCAAACAAAAACTGCTCCGTCCCTTGTAACTGCGGCAGTACGGAGCGCACGCGAGCCGATGTTGCTTTCGTGTAACCGTCGCCCTAAAACAAACGCTGTCGGCACGGTCGGCTACGTACGGCGCGAAAGAAGTCCGGCAAACGTGACAATCGACTCGCTCTGCGCAAGCCACGTGTGACCGTGGAGGCGGCAGCGAGGGGATTGGTGGATCACACAACGACTTCGACTTACGCGACTCTGGTTTTTAATGGACACAAAAAAATGGGATAAGCACACTGCGACATGATAGCAAATGTAACGTGAATCTTTTTTTTCTTTCAGACGCTGTCTTTCCGACAGACCTGTTCTTCACCTGAGGACGGCTGCTTGCGTTGTGGCCGAAACGTCGTGAGAATTGTACTGTTTAAATTTTATTATTTAATTATTTCCCTTCTACGTCAATTTACCGAAAGAACCAAGAAGATGAATCCCTGCAGTCACGAAAGCTTTAAATCGAAATTTTATTATTATTTTATCATTTCCCTTCCACGTGACTTTACCGAAAGAACCAAGAAGGTGACCGTGAATCGCTTCAAAAAGTCAAAGAGTCACCTTTATTGCGGCGTTGATGCCTAATTCTCATCAACGTTAACGTGTTTATTGTTCCGATTTAAAGCTTTCGTGACTGCAGGGATTCATCTTCTTGGTTCTTTCGGTAAAGTCACGCAGAATGGAAATAATAACATAATAAAAATAAAACATAATACAACAATTCTCACGACGTTTCGGCCACAACGCAAGCAGCCGTCCTCAGGTGGAGAACAGGTCTGTCGAGATCTGTCGAGAAGACAGAGTCTGAATCGAAACGTTGTGAGAATTATTTTATCATGTTTTATTTTTATTATTGTATTATTTCCATTCTACGTGACTTTACCGAAAGAACCAAGAAGATATTTATTGTTGTTGTTTTGAAGCACCATGTCTGTACACACACACACACCACGTGTTCGTGTACAGCGTCACGCCGATGCCAACGCGCGCGACGGCGGTGACTTCTCATTGCTCCGATTCATCCGCAGATGCCTCGATGTCTCCGTGGGGTGCAACTGACCTGGCCTGACCCCCCACCCCCCCACACCGCTGTGAGTAGCTCTGCGTTCTAGACTTGAAGCTTTCGTGACTGCAAGGATTCATACTCTTAGTTTTTTCGGTAAAGTCACGTAGGTAAAAATTAATAAAAATAAAACAATAAAAATTACGACGTTTCGGAGGCAACACAAGCTTCCGTCTTCAGGTGAAACCGTCACAGCAAAATATCTGTACCTTATATAGTGGTTAAGGGGGGAGAATTACCTTGTTATCGCGGCATCTATTGAGGAAGGTCAGCGTCTCGAGAAGCTGTGACTTCTTGTCTCGTTGTCTGTTAAAAATTCTAACAGATAGGTGAAATTCCTCCCCGTAGAGGGTATTCACTTGAAGACGGAAGCTTGTGTTGCCTCCGAAACGTCGTGA